GGAACATTGATGATTAACCAACTATCAATTAATGAATATTCAACGCTTTAATTAATTAAACTATTAATTAATTTCCAAAATGGTTTCCAATTAGTTTCTAATTAATTATTAACCATAATAATTAATAAACTAATTTGTCTTTTATTTATTCTACTTAATTTGGGTCTTGAGGCAACCCAAAACGACCCTATTATTATTAGAAATATTACCAATAATTAATGACATTGGACATTATTTCCAACAACTTTATCCATCTAAACATCATGTTGATTCATATAGGAAGGTTCGAGACTTAAACTTAATGGATTAAGTTGAGAAAGATGCACTATTGGTCCCTCTGAGACTTAAAGATTAGATATTGGTTGTTTGGACCATCCTAATGGATAAAGTTGGAAACTTTATCCATTATGAAGATATCTGATGATATGAGTTTTTTCTTCAAGGATTTAACTCTTAATGAAGAAAAATCTTTCTAATTGAAACCACAACATAGCCAAGGAAGGCTAACGAAGTGGTGCCGTGTTGTAATACGTCTGTTTTGTCTATATGTGACCAAGACGTGGAAAAAGAATTGCCACCATGTGGCGGTCATCTGAGTTGACTTTGGTTGATGACTTTTTGACCATTTTGACTTTTGGTTAAACATGGGTAGAATTGAGTATTTGACTAACGATTGGTCTCGATTTCGCTTTAGGAAGCTTGGGTTGGTTGTTCTATTTACTGAGGTAGTTGTAGTGGTGGAGCTTCAACATTTGATTTTGAGGGGGGGATATAATTTGTATAAAAATTGGTGAGCAAAGTAGGGCACTGGGCCAAAATTTTATATTTTGGGTCCTAATATGTACAAAATTAAAGTATAGGGACTACTTCTAACCAAAACAATCGGGTGTGGGTGTGTGTGTGTGGGGGGGGGGGGGTGCCCCTCCTAGACCTAACAAAGTTACGCCCTTGGGTAACTGTTGAGCTTCTGTTGAGTAGTTCACGTGAGTCTTCTCACTATACTATGTAGGATGTTAGTTTTCTATGTGATACTTGTATGAAAGACCATGTGGGTAGCCCATGAAAATTATATGAAAGACTATGGAATAGCCTATGAAACTTGCTTGTAAGACCAGGCTATAGCCCTTGGCATTGCAAGGAAAGACCATGGGGTAGCCCATGGCAACCACATGAAAGACCATAGGGGTAACCTATGGTGGAAAGTATTTGTAAGACTATGATTTAGCCCGTAACATTCACTTGAGGTTGGAATATACCCGTTATGTTCTATATGGTATGTGGTATTTTGGGGAACTCAAATAAGCTTTGTGCTTACGATATATGTTTAAAATGTTTTCAGGTACTTCTAGTTCCAAAGGGAAGGGTCCAACTTGATCGCACTGCATCTCCTGGAGATTTATTCCGCATTGACTGTTTATGATTTTACTATAATATTTTGAGAATACTTTTACTCTGATTGTCTTTAGAACAAATAAATTAATGGTTTTGATTTATTTAAAATGAAATTTTTACTCAGTATTTGTAGGATGTTACAACATCCCCAACTCTACAATCGATATGTATTTGTGTGTGTATAGCCCTAGCTTTATAAATGGATCCTAGGTTTGATTTTGATTTCTGAAATTCGAAATAAGGACATAGTGATTTCAATTTTCATTTATGGAACTCGGGTTTGGTATTTGGTTGGTTTCTTTATGCAACTTTATGGTGGTAATTGTAGACCCAAATCTATGAAAATAAAAATATTTATCATCATCATCATCATCATCTTCTTCCTTTTCATCTTCTTCAGTTTTCAATTGTTGATCTAAATGGAGATATGGGAGGGAGAGGGGAAGTCGATGCAAGGGGAAGTCGATGAAAGGGGATGTAGGGGGCTTACTGAAAAAGAAAAAAGGAAAGCCCAGTGACGGTTGTGGTAGTTGATGGTTCCAGAAATCGAAGGTTTCCTGGTTGATTTTATGTTCTCGTGGGAGTTTTGTGATCGACGATGGTACCGTGGCTGGTGGTGGTTGCCGATGACCGGTGACTAGTGATGGTTGTCGGCGTCCGGTGGTAGGAGTGGGATCGAGAGTAAATGTGGGTCCAACTTGCTTATAAATCAATTAATTCATTCTCTTTAACTAATAAATACAAAAATAAAAGCTAAAAAAGAAAATACAAATATCACTATAGTCTTTTTATAACTGCAACGAATGAAAAACGCAACAATATCATAATATAGAGACTATGTGAGTGCAAAATAATGTTAGAGATTAAACACAAACACGTAATATTTTCAAACAAAAGAAACCAGTTCAATAATTTGTTAAAAAATATATGTATAAACGAGTAATTCTGAAATTCTTTTTTAAAATTGAAATATGCGAATGAGGCTTAAGACCGGCCCAGCCTAGCCCAGTCCGGCCAAGAGCCCATACTTTGAAACCGACACGACGTCGTCTTAATCTTCGTGATCAACAACCCACAACAAAACCTCCATTGCCTAAAACCTTGAAGGACAATCAGCTGAATACTTCATCGAATATGAATCTCCTCCATAACACTGTCAGATCTTCGTCGACTTATTTGATGCGGAATGTTTATCAACATCATGGGCTCAGATCACTTCTGTCCAGCTCTGCGTCTCTCCGTCGATTCTCGACGGAATCTGCACCCCCGACTAACCAGTCCTCCTCCACTAAACCATTATTTGAAACCCCGTCTGCAGGTACTGTATTCTTCAACATTAACAATTTCTTGAATGAAATCTGAGTTGTTTTAATACTCATCCTTCCAATGTCGTTTCATCATTTCCAAATTTTAGCGTTTCTATTAAGCTAGGGCAATTTCACGTTGGTGATTCATAGCGACTATGGTTTCACTTCTCATCAATTCATTTTAATTTAGTGGAATTTCTCAGTCTGGTGTTGGGAATTGATGTTAAAAGAATTAGGGTTTGATATGTACTTATGCTACGAATCTGTTGGTTTATGTGCTTATTTCAGGTTTGGTCTATGGGAAATTAGTAGGCATTACAAAGAACACATTAAAGAGTGATGTTCTCAGTCTATTTGAAGAATCCAAATTAAGCAGTGATGATCTCAAAATCGATTACAATCCATCATACTCACCAACTGGAATGTAATTTTTCCATGTTATAATTCAACATTTCAATCCATCAACTGAAACAATCTTGTGATTACTTACATTTTTATCTTGTGATTGATGAGCAGGATTGTTCAATTCTCTTCCAGGAGTGCGTATGATGCTGCTCTTAGGGCAATTGCTAAAAAAGGTCGCTTGTATAGAATGGAAAGGGTAATTACTAAATACTAATTAATTCCTTCACAAATACTTATTTCAAATTGCAAAACATTATTCGTATCATTGTAAATGCTTTGTAATTTTGATACCAGGCTGATCGTGCAAATTGGGATTACATCCAGCCATATGATGGGAAATATGTAAGTCCAAATTCTTCTTGTTTTTAATAAATATTCATGAAAAGGGTAAAATGGTCATTTAGTCTTTTAAAAATGTGATGTATGCGTGCAGGTTTTACTGCAAGGAATTCCTCCAAATGCAAATTTTGAAGACATTGAGCGATTCTTGGCTGGTTGTGAGTATGATGCTTCCAGTATCCGGCTATTTTTCAGGTCAAAATAGCATTTGACTCTCTCCAAATCAACATAATTACTAATTTGCCCTTCGTTTTGGTCCATAAATGAACTGTTTTTTTTTTTTTTGGTTAATCTTGCAGGCAGGGAGCTTCTGGGCCCACAAGGATGGCACTTGTCCGTTGTGTGTCACCAACTGCAGCCATGAGCGCAATGATGATAACAAACAGAGGGTTTTGTTTCAATAACCAGATCTTAGTGAATGTTCTTCAGTAGATTCATAATCAAGCTTTTTCTTTTTCTTTGAATTTGGAAAGTGTTCAAGAGTCTTATTTGTTGTAGTTAGTCTAAGGGGTTGTTTGATTTTTGACTTGATGCTTTACTTGATGTAGTGGTTGAATGATGTGGAATTTCTACTTGGTATTCAATGGATTAAACTCATATATAATTGTTTTTAATGATTGTTTAATGGATATGGAGTTAATTACCATTGAATTGTTTAAATATGGAAAAGGAAATTCTCTTGATATAAAATCATTAACAAATAAATGATTTATTTATTTATTTATTTTTTAAAAGTTGTGTTGGCTTCAACACTACGAGCTTAAACAGAGAGCTTGCTTAAAGCCTTTTCAATTTGATTTCTAATTAGCAAGCTGTTGTTATGAGCCTTTTCAAACATTATGTGGACCCAATATTATTTTAGCGATTATAATTTGGCAACATCTTTTTTTTTTTTTTTTTTTTTATTCATGAAAATCAATTTGAAAAAAGTATGCGTATAATAGGCTTTTTTACTCTTTGAGTTTTTTTTTTCATTAAACAGTCCCCATAAAAACCTTTTCTATTATGGATGCTCCAAGCTCGTTTATAAGCTATTATAAATATTAGTTTTTAGTTTTTTATACATAATTCACATTTAAAAAAAAATAACGAGAAAAAGAATAAAGATTCTTTTTTTAAATAGTTTTCATACATAAGATTTGCAATCGACGACCCTAGTCTTGTAATTTATTTTTTCTTTAAATACTATGTAAAGACATTAATTATTTTGATTTTGAATATAGTTAATAATTTATATTTTGTACGTAGCAAGCGTCATCTCGATACTTATGTTTGATTTGATGTTTTTCGGTGTGTATATAAAGAAGACCCAACATAACGTCAATATTTGTTTTTTTAAGGGTTTTGGCACTGTAGCATAACGAAGTTTTGCCATTTTTTACATTTAGTTACTCATGTGTGTTTTTTGCTTAATTAGTCATTAACGTTAGGAAATATTGGCTAATTACACTCTTGGGGGAAAGTGTATCCGGTTAACAAGTCACATGCTAACGTGTCTTGACATACGTGGACTTATACCTTACCATGTCACCGTGTACAGTGGCATAACTTCCTTAAATGGAACCTTATATCAAACCAGAAGTGATACGTTGTTACCCCAAATTATGTCATTCCTTCCCTCCTAATACAATTTCTCGATCATTAAAACCAAAGCCATATCTGCCTCTTCTGCTCGATCCATCAACAGTGTTTGTCCTCGACACCATGGCTATGATGAACCATGTCCACCATGTGGCTCTAAAGATGGAATTCGCGTGGACTGATGATAATGTAGTCTGAAGGTTTTAGAACTGTAAAAATTCCTTGGTGAGTATTCCTTCTCTTTACTTACACTTTATTTGCTACCGGTAGCTGGAAAATATACACATTTTCCCTAATCGTTACCCTAATTGTGTTCTTGCTTTTTAATCAGTCACCTGAAGGTCCAAAATGTAGATTTTTTATATGGAATGACGATGAACTGGAGGAGGGGTATTACAAAGACCAACTTCATAAGATGAGGTTTGAGCTACGCAGAAAGGAAGACCACAATGAGGTAACAAATACACAGAAGAAATTGGTTAAGTTGCAGCAAGATAGGGAAGCTGAGAAGGAAGTTTTCGATAGAGAGTTTACGGAACTGAAGAAGGAAAACACTCTGATGAAGACTTACCTGGGAACTACTAAGTGTTTGATCTTATTTTTTTTTTGTCATTGCAATCATTGGGATGTGGTTGAAGTGTGGTTGAAGTGCAGCTGATCATATGCTAGTACTGATGGTTGATGATTTATAATTCCAACCAATATTTTGTGTAGTGTATGTGTAGATGATCATCAAAGTACAAAGTTTTTTGGGTTTTAAATGGATGGTACATGAACAGGATAGGTGAATTTAAAGGTAGATACAGAATGTGGATGACAGTAATTTTAACAACTTTTGTATATGTATGTATGAAAGATCCCATGAATGAATGAATGGAAATGGTAATGGTTGAAAGACTATATTCATTTTTTTTGCAGGATAATATATAATTTAGATTATGGGAACCATTTGCTTTGTACCATTATGTACTTAATGATATGTATGTGGTCCATTTAAAATTAAATTGTGGTAACCAAATTGTAGGGCATATAGAGCTCACTTGGTCCATTTAAAATTGAATTAAGTTCTAAGGAGTGGTGGTCCCTTGTGTGCAAAATGTCAAAAGGATAAAATTTGTGACAATTTATGTAACATCCCGGAATATCAAGAGTAGAGTTGAAGGACTAAAAGTGTAAATTTTGAAGGGCAACTCGGCGAGTCCATGGATGGACTCGACGAGTAGGGTCGCGACTTTGGTCGCGTGTCAAGTGGCCTACTCGGCGAGTCCAAAGATGGACTCGGCGAGTAGGTGCTGAGTGGAGAAAACCCTAAATCCGGGGAATGAGCCCTATTTAAAGAACATCACACCCTCTCCCCAGCCTCTTTGATCCCCTTTGAAGTCCAGAAACCCTAGAAAGCGTGATTGTGGAAGATTGGAGTGCATTTGGAGCTTGGGGAGGTGTTTGTTGAAGAAATCTTGAAGAAGAAGAGGCTTGGATCAAAGGGATTTGCTTGGATTCGAGTTTCATTGCAGTTGGGGCATTCTTTTGATGTAATATATCGTTCTTGGGCTATCACTCATGTGGATTCATCATTTTGGGGTTTATGGGGAGCTTATCTTTGTATGTTTTAGGGTTTGGGGGTTAGATCTGAGGTTGCTACCTCAGATCTGGGATGGGGAAGGCCTTGAGAGCATTAAAGTCCTTGTGTTTGAGTGCTTAGTGAAGCCATCATGTCCCAAACCCTAGCTCTAAAGTGAATAAGGCCTAGATCTCTTTGGATTCACGTAAAGTTTGCCACTTTACGTGATGGATGGATTGTAGGAGGCTAGATCTATGTTTTGGATCAATTGCATGGCCTAGAATGCTTCTGTATGGATTCAGACCGATGGTACTCGGCGAGTCACATGGGTGGACTCGACGAGTTGCTTGAAGATGAGCTAGAACTCGACGAGTTGGATGAACAACTCGGCGAGTAGGTTGAAGACAACCTTAGACTCGGCGAGTCTATTCTTGGACTCGGCGAGTCTTGTTGAAGAGTCCCAATATTTTCTGGATGAGTCGGGAATTGGTGAGTCAAGGGATGAATCGGTGAGTTGGGCGTGAGTGGACTCAGAGGTGTTGGACTCGGCGAGTCTCGGGGTGACTTCGCGAGTTGGGTCGCGGATTAAGGGAAGTTCTGAGCATAGGGACTCGGCGAGTCATCGGGTTGACTCGGCGAGTAGAGTCAGTCAGGGGTTGACTTTGACTTTGTCCAAGGTTGACCATTTGTCTTCCAGGGGTATTTTGGTAATTAAGGGTATATATTGAGTTGAGTGTTTTGGTGTTCAGTGGAGGAGTTCGTGTCGGAGTTCGGAGCAGCAGGATCTTATCCTTTCAGCCGGCAGTTTCGAGGTGAGTTATCCTCACTATATCAACAGGGTCTAAGGCACCAAGGCCGGCCCTTTTATCGGATTGAGATCCGGGTATCTGTTGTTATGATTATTGCTTTGATATGTTTTCATCCTGGTAGTTAGGATGGTATTCGTTAGAGACCTGGTTAAGGTTGGTATCCTGATATGTAGGGTGAGGCTATGCTAGTGACCAATTAGGTCGGTATCCTGTTAGAGTATGTTGTGATATGTGATCTGCTAGATCGGTTGCATGAATATGAATTGTTATGTGATTGATCGTTTATGTGCACATGGTTGTTTGGATTGGAGTTGGGTTGAGGCGGGTCCTGCTTCGTGTTGTAGGCTAAGATACCCAGGGCAGACCGGTTATTCCGAAGGCCCAACGAGCGGTCCGGATAGGCTGTAGGCCCCACGAGGGCGAACCAGACGTGCCGAGGCTCGGAGAGTGGACCAGGCCGACTGAAGGCCCGGTGCGGGCGGACCAGTCGTACTGTAGACTCAGAGAGTGGACCAGGTGAGTTGAAGGCCCAGTGCGGGCGGACCAACCACACTGCAGACTTGAGGGACATGATTGGACACGGAGGGTGGACCAGGTGGACTGAAGGCCCGACAAGGCGGACCAGTCCCACAGTACCGATATGCATGGCTGTTCTGTGATTCGTTATGAGATAGCATGTTATGTGTATGGTATATGTGGTTGGTATTTTGGGGATATCTCACTAAGCTTTCAGGCTTACAGTTGTGGTTTAATGTTTTTCAGGTTCTTCAGGAGACTGTGGCAAGGCGAAGGCGTGATCGTACCGCTCCTCATGAATTTTGTAGCAATGTGATTATGGGAATACTCTAAATGATTTGTATTGAAAACCTTTTTGTAAATAATTTAATGAAATCGGGTTGTTTTTGAAAAAATTACATTGGTTGGAATTTTCGGTCGTTACAATTTAAAGTTGGCAGCATGTGGTCGACATTTTATAATTTCCCATATATATCCTTGCCATGCAAGTTAACATCTTAAAGCCTTGCCATGCATGAAACTTAATAACAAACAACCAACTTAATAAAAATACAACAAATAACTACAAATAACAACCAACTTACTAACATATAACCAAGTTTACATAACCCAACATAGTTCATACAAACAATGAAGCTCACAAAAAATCAAACTTAAACCACCAAGTTCTAGATTAACATCAACAATAATTAAAGTGCATCTTCATCACCAACTCTCTTGGCCAACTTCAATTTGATAATTGTTTCAGAAATTTTCCTTCTGAGTTTATTCAATAGGGTTCTAATTGGTCCTTCCATCACCTCATTTTGCACATGCACCTCATTAACATTAACATTGTCTGCAATACCATCATCATTGAATACATCACCACCATTATTGACTACATCACCACCATTGATCAAAATACTTGCATCACCACCATCATTTACAATGAATACATCACCACCATCATTTACAATGTCTACATCACCACCATCATTCACATTCTCTACATCACCACCATTATTTACAATATCATCACCATCATTCACATTGTGTGACAACCCGAAACTTCTATTCTATACGATTGGTCAATTATATCAATATTAAACTCGATTTTGTCACCTTTTAACACTGTTTAAGGGCTTGTTAAAGTATTCTAAGCCTAGTACAATCAAAGTTTGGGTTCTAGGTTGAGTAATACCAAGTCATAGTACAACAACCGGTCCATACACCGTCTTAGGAGGAGTGTACGGTCGTACACCCACCCCCATGACCGCACATCCGGGGTGGTGGGTCACCCACCCCTATAAATATGAAGAGACCCCCTCTCTTTCACTCTTTTCTTCATTTGGCTGCCCACTACTACTTTCTCTCTCTAGAATCTTCATATAAGGACCTTCCAAAGGCTTCAAAAACGTAAGTGACTCATCCCCTAACTAGTTAGATCGTATGATTCTTCATATTTCAACCTTGTTCCTCATCCTTTGAAGGTGTACGGCCGCACACCTTCATAAGGTGGTCGTATACACCTTAAAAGGCTCTCCAAAGTGAGAGTTTGTCCCCTATCTGCTAGTTGGACTTGGTATTAGCCTTGAAGCACCTCAAAATCGACATCTTGGGCATGAAGATGGAGAGTGTACGGCCGCACACTCCTTTGTACGGCCGGACACACACCCTTAGGGATGTATACCCACTTTGATGATCATATTTGGCCTCAAACTTGCAAAACCACTAAGTATAGGGCCTAGAACCACTCCATGGATGCTTGTAGAACCTTGGAAACACCTCAAAAGCGCTCCTCATCATGAGTGTACGACCGTACACTCATGGGACGTACACCCATGGCCGTACACACCTTTAGGGTGGCCGTATACCCCTCACATTTGATCATATATGGTTCTGACACTTAGTTCAAGCATTTCTAGGTCCTTAGAGTGGTTTCCTATCATGTTTAGTCATGAAATATGCTAATCTAATACATATATGTGTTACTATATGTTAATAGGATCTATTTGAGTTCGAAACTTCAGTTGATAATCGACATCCACACCGATCTTACATTCGAATCCTACATCAAACAGTGAGTTCATACCCCTACGCTTTTATGATTTTTAAACGTTTTTAAGGGGAATACAAGCCAGACATAAAGGATTTTAAATGAATCAAAAACTTATGCAATTTATACACACCAACAGTTTTCACAAAGCATTTAGATACTTATCCATTTTGTACCATGCGGAGCATGAGGGTCATTTTCTAATCAAAATTGCATAGTTTTCAGAACACATCGTGAACATAACTTTTCAGTCAAACTATAATAGGTATAGTTTGGGAACTTCTTTACCAGTTTTACAGATATGAACTACTTACATGGTTGAACAAATAAACTATGATAGATTTACTTTATGACACACACTACAAGAGTACAACCATTAATAATTATTTCTACTCTACAAAAACTTACCTCGAATTCAAGAACAAAAGAACATTACATTTTTCATATCATTACTCGTAAAGTCGTTAACATATATGGGAGACACGTCCTTGGGTGCTTACAACGTTAACTAAGTGGAGGACTACCCTTATGAACCAGAGTTTCCTGGAGGGAAAGCGTGGCTTTTGTGTATAGATCTATACGAGATTGACTATCCTGCACCTGGATGCTAGCTACAGTCGAACCGATAGGTCTACGGGTGACAAATGTCATAAAGGATATTGGCCCCGATACGTGCCATATCAATTTTAAGTATGGTCATAAAACTCGCCAATAGTATGACACATTTATGTAATAATACACCTTTTACGAACCATTGCTTTAATCACATAAATATGGATTATACTTATGCCTTACCGTTTCGGAAGCCTTAAAGCATCAAAACAAACACAAGGGAAAATAAGGGATTTTCCTAGTCAAACTTCAATACTTTACATACTGGTGGTAGCTAGGGTTTTTAAACGAAACATACATTACATACTGGTGGTAACCAAGGTTTTCAAATGAAACATACTTTACATACTAGTGGTAGCCAAGGTTTTCAAATGAAACATATATTACATACTAGTGGTAACCAGGGTTTTCAAACGAAACATACTTTACATACTGGTGGTAACCAGGGCTTCGATACAAACGATATTTACTTATAATGAAAAGAAATCATTTGTACAAATTCAGTGACTAGTTTCTAATACAAAAACATGCTTATGAACTCACTAGCTTTATGCCGATACGTTTTCAAAACCGCTTGTATTCTCAGGACAACGATAGACATGTACCATTGCCAGCTTTTGCAGAAGACGAAGCACGTTAGAGATGCGTCTTTTACTTTTGTTATATGCTAATGTGTACAAACTATGTTTTCAAACAGATGTAAATATTTATATTGTAATGTATTATACGATTGTTGTGATACTACACATGACATCATCTACCACCGGACGTTTCCACTTTTTGTTTATACGGTTCGGGGGTGTGACACATTGTCTGCATCATCGCCACCATTGAATGCATCATCACCATCATTCACATTGTCAGCATCACCACCAACATTGACTTCATCTCCATTTCCAGATGCATCAAAATCCATAGGTGTGAGTTCCACCTCATCATGGAGTTGTCTATCATTATGAACCCCTTCACCACCATCATTGACTGTATCACCACCATCATTGACTTCAACACCACCCTCATTCGCCTATATAATAGAACATTAGAAAAAAAACACAAAAAATAATCTAATTAATTACTAACCTTTTTTTGGCATTGATTTTAGGAGGCCTTCCAGCAGCAGGACAAGCTCTTTTGTTGTGTCCTTCAACCTTACAAATGTAACATCCTGAGGTTCAAGTACTTCTAAATTTATCCCTATAATTTTATTATATGACATTTTGGTCCCTAAGTCCAAGAGAAGGTGCCTTGAAGCCCTAGTGGCAATATTCTAATGTGGGGCAAGTGGAGTATGTTAAGCGTACATGAGGGTCCACTGAGCATACTAGGGCCTGCCTTAGTACGTTGGGCGTACACTTATGTACATTGGATGTACAAGTGTGAGGAGGAAACTCTAAGTTTTAGGGTTTGGGTGGTATATAAGCATCCTTATAGCTAATTTCTCTCCACGTTTTTAACCTCCACATCCTTTAAGAAGCTTTTGCAAAACCCTACCCCTTAGTGTGTGTTTTAAGTTCAAGAGTGTATTTTGGTGTGTTAAAGGAAGAAGAAGTTTTATAAAGAAGCCTTGAATTGGAAGCAAGCTTATGGATCTGGGCACTTTGCCCTATTGTGAAGCTCCAGAAGGTATAAAGTCTATACCTTGATGTCTTGGTTGTTAGATCCTATTTTTGGGAGTTTTATGTTGCTTTTCTTGTCCTAAAGGTCCCATTTTGTGTGTATTTGGTTATTGTCATTTTAAGTTGTCCTTCCAGATGCTAGAAAGGGCCCTAAGCCATAAATGTGTTCCTAATAGCTATAATTATCCCATGCATCTTGTAGAAGGTCTTAATGAATGAAGACCTTGTGTTAAGGACTTTATGGACATGTAAAGTCATAAAGTTTGAGACTTTATGATTCTAGGGTGCATTTGGACCGTAGATCTGAAGTTCGGGCTTAAGTGCTTAAGCTATTAAGCACTTAATAGAGTTTTGGGGTTTGCGGGGTTACGCCCCTCATAGGTGGGAGTACGCCCCGCTTACTCGGTCAGCTGTAACATCTCGACTCTTAGCTATAATATTTATATATTTATAAATGAGTTAATTGAGTAACTCGACATGTGGGTTCCCCAACTCATCAAGTAGAGTCGAATTGGGCACGTGGGTGTTACAACCAACTCGACGAGTTGAAGAGACCAACTTAGCGAGTTGGCACTGTGATAAGAAACCCTAGATCTCTGGGGTTAGGTCCTATTTAAAGGACCTTAAGCCCTTATTTCCGCCTCACCAGCCACCCAACTCCCCTGTGTGAAACCCTAATCGATCAGATTGATTAGTGTGAGAGAGTGAGAGAGAGGCTTAATTGAGTGGTTTTGTGCATCTAGGAAGGAGATTTGGAGAGCTTGGCATGTTGATTGAGGAGGGGCTGTAGATCCATAGTTCTTCAGTGATTAGCTTCAGTGCAAAGGTAAAAAGCTACTATATTGACCTTTCCTTTGTGAGATCTTAGTTTAGGAAGGTTTTTAGGGTTTTCTCCTACCCATCTTTTGACAATGAGTTATTTAAGCATATCATGAGGTTGATGTCACACCCCCAAACTAGAACGGCAGAATCGTTCGAGGGTGGATGACTTAATGTAGTATCGTAACAGTTGAATACATAGTAAAGAAAGTAAACACAACCATCATATATATATATATATATATATATATATATATATATATATATATATATATATATATATATATATAATTTAGGAGTTACATTGTTGAAGGATACTTGTTTCAAAAAAAAAAAATTACAATATGATGACAAAATGAGTTTAAAACTGACGCCATAGCATCACTTCTCCAAAAGCTGAAGTTTACCTGTATTACTGAATCCCTGAGAAATACAAGTAGATTTGAAAGAGTAGACCAGCATTTAAGCTGGTGAGTTCATAAGTATTTAATGTCAATGTTTGTATAAATTTAAATGAATTTCTTTGTAGATGTTTGAAAACTCCTAGAAAATCCCATATTTCCTACTAGTATAAAAGTAGTCTTCTACTAAGACCCACCTGTTTCGAATGTTGTTTCTAAAATTCCAATATTTTTCCATAAGTGTATGGTAGTTAAAAAGTTCCAAAAACTTTTATGCAATAGTGTTTTCATGCCTAGAATAGAAGATTTATGTATGTAAAAGAATCGCTAAGGCATTAGATAACCCCGTAAATCAATGTGTTTTTAATACTCCATGTGAGTTTTATAACCATACTATTGACCCTGATTGCCTGTAACAATGTTCTTCAGGCGTTGGAATGTTATGATGTTTGTCACCCCAGACCTGCCGGTCTAACTGCAACTAACATTTTAGGTGTGAGATTGTCAATCCCGTATAGATCTATACACAAGTATCACGCTTTCCCTACAAGAGATTATGGTATATAATACATGACTTTAACTGCATACTCGAAAGTACGTGAAGCTGAACGTCTCACAAAACTTATTATCAAATAGATTTACGTATGAAAAGTTTATTTGTTTTTGTATATGAAAGTATTTTCTTGATATAGTACTTATAGTATGTAAAATCTCTTGAATATCTAGTAAACTATACTTATTATAGTTTTTCTCAAATGTATGATTCGTTGTATGATAAACTCTAGTGCAGTATCAGCTTGGTATGTAAGTATAACATTTGTAATAACATTATTGAACATTATACACCAATATATAAAAAAAGTGTTTGATATTTGTATAACAACATGTTTTTAATCTTAAAGGACAAAATGTTATTGAATAGGTGTTGCATGCGAACGTTTTCATATGATAGTTATGAATCACATATGATTTGTTATATAAATATAAGTGTAGTAAAAGCTTAATGTTTTCCATACGAGAGTAACCGTGTGTTTACTTGTATTCCCCCCTCCTTTGAAAGTGTATAAAAGCATTCATAAAGTATTTGAAAACGTAGTTGTAGGCGTATGAACACACTTTATAGATAGAAGAAAGTGAAACGAAAACTAAGCAGAACTTCGACTAGGGAAAGCTGAATTTCTCGGGATTCTTGGGAATCTCGGGAGTTAAAAACCTTCCTTCGGAACTTAGATATGAAGAACGGGGCTTCGGGATGGCTTCGGGGGGTTTAAATGCAGAGCTTTGGCACAAGAGAGAGAAGAAATGAGCACTGGAACCCAACACCTTCAACTGCTATTTATAGCCCTAATTTGGGCGCCATGTCGTGGTACACGTCACCACGTAATTGTGAGGGATTTTGTTCCGAAATCTTGTAAAATTAGTAACTTCCGCGTACGAGCTCCGTTTTTAACATTCTTTATATCCACGCATAGGTGAGATTATGCTCTACAACTCTCGTTTAGACTCCATTGGCAAATTTTGACTTTATTTTTATTTTTATTTATTTTTTAACGGGCCGGGATACGAAAAGTACGTTAAAAATCCATAACTTCTTCATGTGATGTCTGTTCTCGTCAGACTTTATACCATTATGCTACTATTGTTGAGGTCTTTGATTCTCATTTAGGTTTTATCGGTTACAAATCTCTCTATCTCTATTTCGAGTATTTTAGCTGTCTGCTGCTAAATTCGAAACTTGGAAAAATCATAACTTTCTCATACGAAGTCAGATTTGGACGTTCTTTTATATATGTATACGGTCTAATGATATCTACAACTTTCATTTAGATACCTAAGGCTAAATATAATTGTATTCAAAACTTCACGTTTTACGCTTATCAGTATTGCCGGTTTTTACTGTGATTCTTAGATTGGTCATAACTTCTTCGTTGTAACTCGGATTTTAGTGTTCTTTATATTTCTGAAACCCTTGATACGATGTTTATCCTTTTATGTAACACAATAGAGAATTTTGAACATTCAAATTTTGATGCAAATTCCATTACATTAAAAGAGATTAAAATCCATGACTTTTTAGGTCATTACATCAATTCGAAAAATATCGGGTTGTCACATCATCCCCCCGTTAGAGGAAACTTCATCCCAAAATTAAATATAAAGTTAACATTTGTGGATTAGGGAAAGAGATGCAGGTACTTTTGTTTCATCTGATCTTTGCGTTCCCAAGTAAATTCAGGTCCCCGCTTTACATTCCAGTGGACCTTCACAATGGGTATGCGACTTTGTTTTGTTCTTTTAATTTCCATATCCATGACTTAAATTGGTTCCTCTATGAAGTGGAGACTCTCTTTGATTTTGATTTCGTATAGAGGGACAACAAAGGTCTCACCGGAAAAACATTTCTTCATGTTTGACACATGAAAGGTAGGATGCACGTTATTGAGTTCCCGCGGTAGGCAAAGTTTGTATGCTACCGAGCCGATCCTTGCAAGGATCTTGAATGGTCTGATATATCTTGGGTTTAGTTTCCCATGTTTTTCGAAATGTATTAACCTCTTCCAGGGCGAGACCTTCAATAGCACTCGGTCCCCAACCTGAAATTCTAAGGGCTTCCGTCTTTTGTCCGCATAACTCTTTTGTCTGTCTCTTGAAGCCTTTAGTCGTTCCCGAATTTGTACTATCTTCTCAGTTGTTTCACTTATAATTTTCAGGCCTATGAGAGCGTTGTATGGTACTTGTCCCTTGGCTAGTTGCGTGTCACCCACTTCAACCCAACATAGTGGTGATCTGCATTTGCGGCCATAGAGGGCCTCGAATGGAGAAACTTTAATGTCGGAGTGATACCTATTGTTGTATGAGAATTCAACTAGTGGTAGATGGGTATCCCATGCTTTACCAAAATCGATTACACAAGCAGTTAGCATATCTTCCAAGGTTTGTATGGTCCTCTCACTTTGACCGTCGGTTTGTGGATGGTAAGTAGTACTCATGTTTAGGTTTGTTCCAAGAGATTTTTGTAGCAACTTCCAGAATCACAAGGTGAACCTACTATCTCTTTCGGAGATAATGGATATTGGTACAACATGTAGTCATACAATCTCTCGGATGTATGTTCGAGCTAGCTTCTCCATCTTGTAGGTTTCCTTGATGGGTAGGGATTGTGCGGATTTTGTTAACCTATCGACGATCACCCAGATGGTGTCTAGCCTACCTGCTGTCTTGGGTAATTTGGTTATGAAATACATGGTTATCTGCTCTCACTTCCACTCGGGTATTTCAGGTTGTTGTAGTAATCCTGAAGGTTTTTGGTACTCGATCTTGACTTTGGTGCAATTCAGACACTTGCCCACATAGGTAGCGATCTCTGCCTTCATGTTCGGCCACCAATACAATTTATTGAGGTCCAGATACATCTTGTCTGAACCTGGATGCACGGAGTATCGTGTCTTATGAGCCTCATTCATGACCACGTCTCTGAATCCACCAAACTTCGGTGTCCAGATCCGATCCACGAAGTAACGAACTCC